GAAGCTGTGCCCAAGCTATAGTTCAGAAATTTGTAAGCGTCCACCATCCATTCATCCACCAACCTATTCATCCATCCATCCATCCATCCATCCATCCATCCATCCATCCATCCTTCATCAACCATCATCCCTCCATTCATTCACCCATCCATCCATCTAACCAGCCACCTCTTATCCATTCTATAAACATATTTTATTGAGCACCTACTGGGTGCTAAGTCCTGGGGCTACAAGTTGGAACAACAGAAGAGATCCTGTTTTCAAGGAGCCCACAATCTTCCATGTAAGATTGGAAACACACCAGTAATCACAGTACAATGTGACGAAAACATGATAGAGAAGCCAGTGACCTGTGAGGACACAGAGGAAGGTGGGGGCTGAAGGAAGGAAGTGGGGATTTAAGCTGTGATCTAAGGAGGGTAGGAGTGTAAGGAAGTGGGAAGTGGGGTGTGGGGGAGCAGGAGAGAGTGTTCCAGACAGGGGGAAGAGCCTATACAAAGGCTTGGTTGTCAATGAGAGCCTGGCATTTTCAAGGAACTGAAAGAAGGTCCATGTGGCTAGGTTAAAGTAATGGTGTGGGCGGTGGGGCTGGGGGCAAAAGTTGAGTCTGGAAAAGTTAGTGAGAATCTGGACTTCATCCTGGGGGCAATGGGGAAGTGTGGAAAGATTTTGAGAGGGGAGAGCCTTGCTCAGATTTGTGTTCTGGAAAGATGTCTGGGCTTTAGAGAGGAGGGTGGACTGGAGGGGTAAGTGTGGGAGCTGGGAGGTGAGTGTGGGGCTGTGGTCCAGCAGAGAGATGGTGGGGTGGGCATGTGGTTGGGGAGAAGGAGATTGAATCAAGATACATCCAGCTGGCTGGCTGAACAGCTCTTCTCTGTTGACCATGAGACGGGAAGGAAGGCCCAGGGTAAGGATGACCTTGTGTTTCTGACCCGAGGAATCAAGCAGACCGACAACCTGTCAGGAAAGGCTGACTCATCAGTGAGCACATTAGGCTCTTTGGACGGGACGGTGGGACACGTTTTGGGATTGGGGGATGGGGTAACATTTGGGACCCTCACATCTCAGCCCCCATGGGCAGGACGAGACATTATAAGTCAGCTGTCAGAGGATGGGGCTGGATGGATGACATGCTAGATCCTTACTGGGATGCTTCAGGCAAGTCATTGCATCTCCCGGAGCCTCCGCTGACATGGGGCTGCCACCTCAGTGACAACTCCTGCCACCCCAGTGACAACTGTCATGTGAGATTTGAAGATGATAAAGAGCTTCCACCTCAGAAACCTGACCCATGCTCAATGGCTTGAGGCTAAGTTCTTGGGGTTGTGAAAACAGCATCCAGCCCACAGCAGACTCAGAGGTGGGTGCGGGAGCCCTTCCTCCCTCCCTTTCAGGGTGAGGGAACCAGAACCTGGCCGGTGCAGCCCCTTCAAGCTAAAGTGGGGAAATGTTGATCCTCTCTGCTCCCCAAGGGACTCCCTGTGGCAGTGGTTTGCGGGCTGGGGCAGGGAGGGTGCGGGTGTACAAGCGGTGTGTCTAGCCAGCTTGAGTCAGAGGGGTTGGGACAGGCAGCCACCCTGGCTTTTCCCTCCCACTCAGGTCCAATTCCCCTTTAACTCTGGGGTCCTCCTGGGCCTGCATCTCATCTGCATCCCCGCCCGTACCCTTGCCCTTCCTCCAGCCCCCTCTCCGCTGCCACCCTCCATAGAACTCTGCCTCACCACCGCCTCCTCCAGGGAGCATTCCTGATTCCCCTGATCGACTTCCAAGCTCTAGAGTCTGCACAGCACCATAAAGGTCTATCGAGGCTCTTAGCATAGTCACAGACTCCAGGGCATTCCATCTGGAAGGTCCCTTGGAATCCATTTCATAGCTGGGAGAACTGAGGAGGGCTAAGCCACTTAATCCCTGCAAGGAAACCACCTCCAAAATGTCCCTGGTCCGTGCTGCCCCTCCAAAGTGAGGTGGAGAGGCTGCTCTGCGGCCCACGGTTTCTCCCCAGACTCCAGCTCCGGCTCACCTCTTTGTCCTCGTCTCCTGTCGCCTCTTCCCCAGTCAAGCCTCGTTGAAAGCCTCCTGTGTGCAGATGGTACACACCGCGGTAGACATGTCTCCTATTTTACGGTCTCCATGTCACATAGGGACCATTTCCCCCAACAGAGTTCTGTGCTGTTACTCTCGTTTCTCTCTGCACCCTCCTCTGCACCCGTGCCAAGTGCTTCCCTCATGTGAAATGCCCTCTCTTCCTTCTCTCTCTTTTCTTAAAATTTTTTAAAAAATGTTTATTTATTCTTGAGAGAGAGAGAAAGAGAGGCACAGAATCTGAAGCAGGCTCCAGGCTCTGAGCTGTCAGCACAGAGCCCAACGTAGGGCTTGAACTCACAGACTGCAGGATCATGACCGGAACCCAAGTCGGACCTCAACCGACTGAGCCACCCAGGCGCCCCCTTCCTCCTCTTCTCTTGGTGTGAATCCTCCCAGCCAGAAGGCCCAGCTCACTGACCACCACCTCCACGAAGCCCTCCAAGGTTTCTCAGCCAGAAGCACCCTCTCCCTGCTCTGTAGGGCCCTTTATCTCACCTGCACTTCCTGTGTTGGGGCCAGGCCTCATCCCCCTCCCAGCCGCTGCGCACCCTCCCACGGCCCCTGGCACAGCACCTGACACGTGGCAGGTGCTCGCTGGCAGGTTTGCTGCTCCGATCCCTCTCTTGCCAGGCATCCTGCACCAGCCTGGGGCTAGTCCAGAACCTTCTGCTCCTGCTGTCACAACCAATTCCTTAGAAGGGACAGGGGAATTTGGGTCCTTCTGGAGAAAAATTCTGAGTCTGTGGCAGAACAAGGGGGACTCAAACCCCACTCAGGGGGTTTCCCTGGCAGTGGGGGCTGGGGTGGCCTCGCCAGTAATAAAGCTGCTGATTGTCATCAAAACAGTCCCCTGTTGTCCAGCACAGAAGAGCACCCCGTGGCCTCTGTGGTGGGTGGAGATGCCACTGGGCAGAGGGCATGGAGAAAAGAGAGGGTCAGGAGACACTCTGCGCGCGAGGGGCAGCATCAGCGAGACATCCTCTGCCCCTCCTCTGCCCCCGGCCCCCCAAGCACCTCAGGTTGGTGGCATTTTCGCTGGGCCCAAGGCGCTGTCTCCAGGCCAGAGCTGCTCTTTCCTGGGCACAGCCACCAAGGGCACCGGCACCCCTTCTCCAGCCCAGACCGGTTTCCTCCAGCTCCGCAGGACAGGGCCTGCCTGGTGCCTCTGTTTGGGGTGGGGGTTACCCCCACTTTCTGCAGGAAGCTGGCATGAAAGATGCCAGGAAGAAAGGCGGGAACACCCCGTCCCTTCTCCCCTCCATCGCACGTGCAGATGGCAGCCTGTCCCGACAGGAAGAACAGCCCAGCGGCTGGGAGCAAAGAGCCACACTAGCTGTGGCTTGAGGAGTGGGTGATGTGATCCTATGAGAAGCAGAGAAATGCTGGTGTGAGATCCACTGAGAGGACCCCATCTTTCTCAGATCTGTCATTCTGGCAGGGCCCCCTGGGTCAGTCCAAACGTCCCTCCACGGGTGGTGAAGGGGGTCCAGAGAGGGTCTATGAGCTGCCTAAAGTCACACAGTAAGACGGTGACAGAGGATCCCGCCTGCGGGACATTCTGCCATGGACGGGACACTCCCTCCACCAGGAAGCAAAGCAGCCCCCGCCTGCCAAGGTGGGCCTGGGGGACAAGGAGGAGCGTTGGCCTTGCCCTCCCACGACCTTGACCATGGCTTCCTTTCACAGGTGCCCTGTGAGGAGCGGTAGGCAAGGTGACAGTCTGAGCATCTCCCTTGGCGGGGCTGGGTTTCAACAAACAGCGCCTGCTGTTGTTACATCACTGCTGATGAAAATGTAATGACAGCTCCAGGTTAACCCGAGCCGCTGTGCCGAGAGGGCCCCGTGCACCTGACACCATGTGGCAGGGACCTCATCTCAGCTGCTCCTGGTCACTCGGGACAAGTGGAGCCTGGCCCGGATCCCACGCGTCAGAACCAAGGTCTGGGGTCATCTGCGGAGAGGCCATCCACCTGGAAGTGGGCACAGGACTCTCCTCCTGGTTAAGGGACTCCCACCGTCTGGCCCAGGGGAGCCTTAGGCAATTGGCCACTTTCTCTGGTGGCCGGGGGAGTGGCCCGATGCAGGGATGCTGTGGCCCACGGGGTGGATGGAAAGTCCGTTCAGGGTCTGGCTCGTGCTGGGGCCTGACCACATGTCCACTGCAGACCAGGTCCTCACAGACCCTTGCGTTCTGTTCTGCAACCCAAGGTGGGTGCCCCATGTGGCAGAACTGGGCTTCCCACCGGCAGAGGCGCCCATTTGGATCAAATGGTGATTAAAACCTGTCAGGCTCGGGTCTCCTGTGGTTCAGGGTCCAGCCTGGGGAAGCCCCCATGACCAAAGTCATGTGGGTCCCAAGTCCTTCTCAGAATGAGAGGGAGCGGGGGCACTCCCTGTGAAGTCACCCCTGTGCCCGTGCAGCCTGCGGATCCCCCTTCCCCCCAGGAGGCCTTCCTGGAGGCAGAGGCGGAAGCTCCTCCAGGCCTGGGTCTCAGGTGCCTAAGTAGCCCCTCTTGGCTCCTGCCTGGCTGTCTGTCCCCTCATACAGGATACCGCACTTGAAGGAGGCTCACCAGCCTCGGGACAGAGGCTGGCTCGGTTTAGGAGAGAGGCTTCTCAGTTCTGCTAATAGAGGAACCAAGAAATGTCCCCTGTGAAAGGAGAAGTATGTCATTGTAGCCCCCGGACACACATACCCCACCTCTGTCCTCAGTTGAGTGCCCATTCTCTGGAAAGCCACAAACATTCCAAGACCACATTTGTGCTGAATCATCTCAATTCTTCAAACTCCACTGGTGTAGGGAGGCATGTGGTGGGAGGTGACGGGAGGTGGGGCAAGGTCCCCAAATAGGTTAAATAGGTCACCTCCACACTTGGCTGTCATCCTCGCTTTCCCTGGAGCAGAGGGACCCACACACAGATCCTCTCCTGGGCTCCTGGCACCATGATGTCCCTGAGGATGCTGCTGCTGGTCACGCTCCTCCTGGGGGCTTCTCTGCAGCTCACCCATGCAGGTGAGGGCAGAGGAGGGTGGCTGAGGAAGGTGCTCCGGGACAGGAGGGGTGGGGGCATCTAGATCATAGCAGCAACACCCACTATTTATGCATTAGGTACAGTCCACCTATTCCTGCAGAAGGGGGAGGCTGGGGGCAGCTAGGATTTTGAGGGAAGCAATCAAAGGAAAAGGAGGAGGAGGAGGATGGGGAGGATGGGGAGCAGGATGCAGCCCCCCGAGCATGGGGATCGGCTTGGGAGGAGCAAAGCTCTGGCACGTCTCTCGCCGCAGCGGTTGTGGGGCAATGACTGGGGCTGTTTTCACAGTGGAAAATGACCACTTCTTAGAAGTATTGGTTAGCATCTGTTTTAGTGACGGGTCTATACGGAGGGAATCAGCACGAAGGCAGCTGGTTCCCCGAGCATGTGACAAGGGAGAGGTTATATGCAGTTGGAGGAGGAAGGATGAGGATGGGATGCGGGAGCACAGCTGGCTGGCGCCCAGCCTTTGTCGGTGACTGCACGTTTACTTACTCTCCCTTCTGTAAAACACCGGCCTGGGCAGCTTTGTGGGTTAGTCAAACCAAGGGATGCCCGTGAGGTGGCTGGAGGACAGCTGGGGGCTTCTAGAGAATACTCTAGCGTGGCATTAATTAAAGCCACACGCTGTTGGTCTGCCTGTTTTCAAGCGTTGGATACTTTTTCTTGTGCAAAGATAAGGAAGCCAAGCCCTAGGGAAGTGTCTTCACGCCTTGGGCTTCCACGTAATCATCTGGAAAATGGGGGAGTGACAGCACTTGTCCCCAGGTGCACTGCGGAGGGCCGAGGGGCCCCTGCAGGCAGAGGCTCAGCCCAGAGCCTGGCCCGGAGGCAATTCCTGGGGGGTTCTGGGCTGGCATTTGAGCATGTGCGCGCACAGATTACACTCATGCAGACACACATGGACAACACACAGACGCACACCAATATACACGCACAAACTCCCCTAAACACGGAGGCATGCCTGCACACGCACACAAACACCCAGGCCCCCCCGCAGCACACAGAGACCTCACACGCAAATGTGTACACGCAGGTACACACACACAGACATGCAGAGACATGCATTCACAGCCACACACAGAGACGTGCACACACAACCCCTCCCAGACACACAGATGTAGGCACAGAGAGACACATGAGCACACAGGGATCCCCAAAGCACAGAGGCCACACGCACACAAGTGTGCACATACTGACGCACACAGACACACTCACAAGATGCCACTAGCAAGAGACTCCCCCACCCACAGACCCCCTGATGGGAGCACACCCACCGCCCACTGAGGGGACTTCCTGAGGGGACATGCACACTCAGACTCCCCTCCACAGCCGTGGACCCCCCCCCCCCCAGGCACTCACAGACACACCTGCTCCTGCCTCCTCTCTCCACAGCGCGAGCCACCAACGTGGGCCGGGAGTGCTGCCTAGAGTACTTCAAAGGGGCCATCCCGCTCAGAAGGCTGACCGGGTGGTACAAGACCTCAGCGGAGTGTCCCAAGGATGCCATCGTGTAAGTGTGCCCTGGCCCCCGCCCCACCACCCCCTTGCTCCTGGGAGCTGAGTCAGGGAGCAGACAGACCCTGGAGCTCCCAGAAGGGTCACTGGGGAGAGGAGAGAGCGAGGCCTTTGTGGTCCCCTTCCCACCAGGCCCTGCTCCTCAGGGAAGCCCCTGCACCCCACATTGTGAGACCCAAAAGGCCCCAGCCTGTGAGGTTCAACTCTTCATTGATTTATGGGGAAACTGAGGCCCTGAGAGAGACAGAGCAGCCCCATGTCACACGGGCAGTCCGAAGCCAATGTGGTCACTTCCCATGGCTTGGTCTGAGCCGGGCCCCTCCTATGTACCCCTAATCCCTAGGCCCTAGGTGGGCATGGGCAGTAGAGGGACAGAGGCTTTGCAGTGCTGGCTCCCTGGGAGGGCGAGGACCGGCAGGGACCTTGGGGAGGTCCAGAATCACTGAGGACAGAGCCTGGTGTCCCCAATCTGTCACTGATGTGCTATGTGGCTTCAGGCAAGTTCTTGCTCCTCGTGAGGCTTCAGCATCCTGATGGGTGCGGAGCAAGGCTGATCCCAGCCCCTGATGGGTTTCTTCCCTCTTGTGTAGGTTTCTCACCCTCCATGGCAAGTCCATCTGTTCCAACCCCAAGGACGCGAGGGTGAAGAAGACAATCAGTTATTTGCAGAGGGTCATGAACCCTGTGCCTCAGTAGTCCTGATTTCTGCCTGGACCATTTGGAGACTTCCAGCCTCAGTTCACTACCCCAAACCCGAGCTGCCCGAGTCCGGTGAAGGCCCTACAAGGACAGAGAAGACCCCTGTCCTCTTTTCTGGTCTGGTACCATGGCAGGAGAGAGCCCCGATTAAAGTCTCTCTCTTTGTACCTCACTCTGGGCCAGCGTGTTCTGTCCTCCCAGCCTGTCAACACCACAAGGGCACTCACAGAACACCTACCTGATCCTGCCCTGTCCAGGCAGGGAAACTGAGGCTCAGAGAGGGGCATACCTCAGACCACATGTGAGGGCGAGGGAAGGCCCCGGTGAGAGTGGCCCAAGTAGGGGAGCTGAGGGGGTCTCTGGGATGAGCCTGGCCTCCAGGAGGCCTTCCCCAAGAATGGCTGCCCATCCCCCGGTTCTCTCTCCTGCTCTGATGCCTCTGGCCCTTGGGGACCATAGGGCAGGCTGCTATGACGGCATTGTTCTCCCAGTTGATCCCTTGGTGGCTCGGTCAGTCCTGACTCCTCCATTAGAGGGGAGCTCCTTGAGCCACCAAGGCACCCCACAGCATACATGCTAAGAAGGATGGGGGATGGGGAGTTATGGACTCCCTTCCCCCAAGACTGCTCTCTGCAAGCCCAACTCAGGGCTGGAGCTAGAGCCTGTAGGGTGTGGGGGAGTTAGGGTCTTTGAATTCTAGTTCTGTCTCACTCTCCTGACCAGCCGGGGCCTCGTGGCTTCTGTCTCTGGGATGTTGTCTGGGGACAGGAGCACCGAGTCCTTCTCTTCCTAGGATTCTGTGATCTGCCTTGTCAGAGGGGGCTGCAATCAGGAGTTATTTCAGGCAAAGCTTTGCCTCCTGTTGCCCTCTTGAGGTCAGTTGTCTTTCTGCAGGCCAGATGACAGACCCGAGCCTACTTTCCAGTCGGGGCACAAATAAAACCAGAAAAACAATAATGAGGCTGAGGATGGTGAACTGGCTTCTTTGTAACCCCAGGGTCTCCTTGAACCCGGGTGGCCTCTTCCCCTGCTCTGGTCCCAAGGAGTATCCTGCTGACAACTGCCTTGGACCTGTTCCTGGGGACAGCCTGGCCTGAGTTCTTTGTGAAAAAGTATCTTCTGGATCCACCGAGTGGGGCTGCGGGGTGGGGGGTGGGGATTGGAGGAAAGATGATCTCAAAACAGAGAGAGGCAAGAAGGAGCCCCTGTGACAGCAAAGGAGAGCAAGGGCTGGGGCGGGACCCCTCTCCCTTGGAGTCCAGAGCCTAAAGACACTCCGAGGACTCACAGTTCACCCGTGCACAGAGAATAGTTGTTTTAAAAGAATCAACGTCTTTTTGTCCAAGTGGAAACTTCCTCAGAGGCCCATTTGTAAACTCAGAGAAGGGGAGCTGCATGGTGGACAGTGAGGATGTTTAACAGCAAGATCAGGATGGAATGGGGGGGGGGGAGCGGGGGCAGGGCGAGATGCAGGAGACGGGATCAGCTGTGACTTGGGGACTCCCCTGATTAGACCAGAAAGGGACCAGAAAACAGAGAAGTGAGGGCATCACATGGTTCCTTCCACCTGGAAGGTGTGCCCCTCCGTGGACTGCAATCCAGCACCTCTCCAGCGCTCGGCGTGGCTGCACGGAGCCTCGGCCAGCTGCCCGCCCTGGCTTCGGCTGGCCCTCTGCCACGCCCTGCCCCCTTGGTTACAGCTATTGCACGCTTGTCTTGCCAATGAGCTCGTGGGGGCTGGTATATGAGTCGGGCGACTCAGTCCCTGCCTCATTTGTAGGGTGGGGGGAGTGCTTTGTGCATAGTGGACATTTGATTTACATCTTCAGCAACCGGCCCCCCGCTGAACTCCACGAGGGGCCCGAACAGAGAAGGAGAAATCCCAGAGGAACCGGGGCAGTGATAACCGGATTTCAAACTCAGCCTTTAAGAGGGATTTAGAATCGAGTTGCTCTGCGCTTGGCCACCAGAGGTCGCTTCAGCGTCCAGATAAAGATTGAGCCCCAGGGGCCTGACAGCCAAGGCCTGGCCTTTTTGCTGTTGCCAGGGGCCAGGTTTACCCACTTCTGATCGTAAGCTCTCAGGGCCCGGGTCAGGGTGTCTGCGGCTGGTGACCCCTTCTCCTGAGGCAGCAGGCAGCAGAGGCAGGGAAACCACCACCACTGTGCCCTGGGTTAGCTGGATGGAAAGAGGGGCAAACGCTGCCAGGACTACAGGGCAGCTAATCCCAGCGGTAGGGAGCAGGGGGCAGCGCCCAGAGCTCCGCGCTAGGGCTGTTCCCAGCCCGTTTTCTTAGGTTCTGCATTGGCCTATTTGGAATTGAGGAATCACCGGGCGAAGTACTGGCTGAAGCTAGTTACAACACCCCTGTGTTCCAGCTTTGGAAGCCACGCCAAAATCACATTGCAAGCAAGCTCTCTAACCAACCTCAAGTTCATTCTGCTAAACACCTCCTTCCTGCAACTCACACTGCAGATCGGTATTTCCCCTGCCCCAGATCACCCAGGGCCTGGTACCACACCGCTAGGGACAGCGCCCTGCCCAAAGCCTGTTGGAACTATTCACACTAGCCAGCCCTCAGGCTTTTCCCACGGGGACCCCAATAACGGCTGTGGCCTCCGCCCCAGACTTGAGCTCCACAGCCCCTTCTCTTGGGAAATGTCAACAGTGAATTCTTTCACTAGCACTGACCTCCCTCTATCAGCAACTCAGCCCCCCACATACGTTAAAACCCCCCCAGGTATATTTTAACACGTGGGGTCAGGGACCTGCTCTGAATCCGCTCGCCACTGACTAGCTGCGCGGCCCGGGGCTCTGCTAGATTCAGCCCAAGATGCTCTTTGGTTTACAATCTCCTGTCCTCAACCTGAAGGCTAGGGTTTTTTTTTTGCCCTTCATGTTGGCAACTGCAACAGAAGCAACTAACAGCATCCCTGCCTCTCTCAGTAAATATTAACATGAAGTCTAGTCTGGGGCTGAGTTAGTTTACCGTTGTGGTGTAACAAATTACCACGAATCTAGGGGCTTAAGACCATACACATTTACGGCTGCAGATTTTGTGGGTCAGGACCACGGGCACAGTGAGGCCGGACCCCCACCCAGGATCTCAGCCACTGAGGGCAAAAGGCCCCTTTCTCGTCAGGCAGCAGGGTCTGCTCTTGGCTCTCGGAGGCCCCACAAGGGCCTTCTCTCAACACGGCAGCTGCAGAAGGCCGGCCGAGAAACTTTAGTTCCCCAGTGCTTTTAAAGGACCACCTGACGAAGGCAGCCCACTCAGGGTACGCGCCCTTCTAACTGAGGGTCCGTTAGGCGCTTTAATTATGTCTGCAAATCCTTTTGCTTTTGCCACATGATGTAATCTAATCACAGCAGTGATGTCCTGTCATACTCACAGGTCCTCCTCAAACTCAGGGACAGGGGCCCGTACAAGGGTCTTGGGGGTCAACGTAGAACCTTGCCTACCACAGGGGCTTTGGAGTGGAGTCAAACTAGAGCTTAGCCACACCCATAAAGCCCACCAGCAGGGATCAGGATAAGCAAAAGCAGTCTCAGAGAACGCAGTCAAGTTTCAAGGACAAATACCAATGAACATTTTCATTTATTGGTAAAATATACAAGTCCTGGTCTCACTCTTTTTTTTTTTTTTTTTTTTTTAAGTAATCTCTAGGCCCAACATTGGGCTCAAACTCATAATCCTGAGTACAAGAGTCACATGTTCTACCAACTGAGCCAGCCAGGCACCCCCCCAAATCCTGGTCTCTTAAATCCATAGAGTCTCCAACTCTTTGGGCAAGATCGATTCCAAGTCTGCATGAGTAACAAAGAGAATGAAAGATCTCCTGGTCAGAGAGATTTATTGTTGGTTTAGACTTCTGTCCTGCTTTCTTCTAAATCCTTACCAACCTGGCCTCTTCCAAAATAGATGGGAGATAGGCCTGATCCTTAAATGCAGGACTGGCCCCACTGTGATACTAAGTCTCTCCAAAAAAGACAGTTTTGTGGCCCAAGTTGAGCTCAGATGGCTGTGCCCGACCTCACACACACAAACATACCCTCTCCACAACCAATATGCAGAAGTACACAACTTTAATAACTACAGAGTAAACGACAGGATGGATACAATACAGTAAAAGGGGGTGGGGTGGGGTGGGGATAGAAGGACAGAGGAACACTGAATATGATCACAGCAACCAATGGGTGATTCCTTGGTGCCCTGAGGAGGTCATGAGACACCCGATTCCTGTCGCCAACAGCCACAGGCTGAGTAAACCAACAGCTCTGGAAGACAAGTAGTGGCACTATAGCTGGGCTTAGATCGGGGGCAGGGCCTCTTTGTCACAGAGTGGCAATACTCTGAGTGTTAGGTCAGCGCTGTGACATCGGGAGAGGGGCCGCCTCAGGACGCACTCCCATTCCCTCACACTAGGTGGAGAAGGAGGCCCCCGACTCTGAGGAACCAGGCCCCGTAACACCTTGGTCTCTGGGCACATAGCAGCACTGCGCCCCACTGCGCCCCGCAGCCAGCTTCACACTGTTTACCAAGCGCCCTCCCTGCAGATGGAGTTCACGCAGAGAGGGAGCAAATCCGGAGGAGGTGGGAGGAACCACACGGTGGGGTTCGAGGGGCAGGAGCTGGCCGGAGGAGCGCCTGCGCACCACGGTGCGTCCCTCCTAGGCGTCGCTGAGATTGCTGTTGGTCAGGAGCACCTGCTCCCCGGGTTTGAAGGCTGGCATCCCAAGGTAGGGGCAGCTGGCGCAGCGGAAAGCATCGCCCAGGTAGCACTGTTGGGGGAAGAGACAATCATACGGAGAAGCGGAGAGTCAGCGTGTCCCAGGTTCATGGGTGGGAAAGGGATCCCTCGTTTCCTAATGTGGCCATAGAGGCCCAATGGAAACGGCCGGGTACACATGTAGGTCCAACTGGGATCCAAATACCGAGAGTATTTAAGATCTCTGCTTTTATGAAAATCAGGGGCCTGGGGGCAGTTCCTTAGAGGCCATATTTCTACATTCTCAGCAGTTCAACTCGTAGCCATGCACAGCCAAATGGCTGAAGAGCATCAGGCCGCTGTGAAGTGGGAAGAACGGGGCCAAAAAGGAGAAACGACAAGAGCCCCCGACGGGCATGAGGCGCTAGCCTGCTCTCAGGAGATGACCTCCCTGCCACAGACACGTTCTCACACGTTTGCCTGATTAAATACGTGGGCAGCAAATCAGAGCTGGAGCCAGCCTGTGCTGGGTTTAGGCTGATGCCCAACACCAGCGGGTTTGTGAACACGGAGTACAGATCCAGGTACGTACGTTTCCACAAGCCGACTTGGGCTGGGACCTCGCCTGTTCCTGTGACTTCTCTTTTTCCAGTTCTTCCGCAAGGCCACAGGTGCTGGGGGGAAATCAGTGGCCTGTGAGCGAGACGCGCCACCACCCAGGGGCCCCAAATCCTTGACAAAGTCCAAACGTGCCCTCAGACCTTTCTTTTTATACCAGAATGTCTTAACCCACAGGCCCACGGGGCCAGGCTGATAATATAAGTGCGTGAGACTGTTCAGGGAGACAGAGTGGTGGGGAGCAGGGGGCCCAGAGGGAGACGTCCTGTCCACACGGGCCGGCTACCACTCTGCTCCAGCTGATTAAAGCCATGTGGAGAAGCAGACAGTGTTGGCACATTTTCCAAAGCTAAGGACACACAGAAAAAAAAACCCCAAAAAACTGGAGTTTTACTTGAAGTCTCCCAATTTGTGCACACTGGCAACTTTCACACTTAAAAAAAACACTGCTGACTCAACAAGCCCACACACCATTTAACTTGTTACCACCCTTTCCGTCCATAAAACAAATGCAAAAGCACTAACAGCAGCGTTTTCCAGGTTAAGAGGACAGACTGAATGCATGCACCTACTTTACTTTCCCTCAAGGTCCCACCGAAACTTCCATGAAGACATAACCCTGGACGGCAGGAACTGGGGAAAGCAGGCTGTGAAGACACAGCCCCCGACGGCGGGGACCGCGGGAAATGAGGCCGTGAAGACACAAGGCCCGACGGTGGGGACAGTGGGGACCGCGGGGAAAGGAGGCCGTGAAGACACAGCCCCCGATGGCGGGAACCGCGGGGAAAGGAGGAAGGAGGCCGTGAAGACACAGCCCTCGACGGCAGGACCGCGGGAAAGGAGACAGTAGCGATGCAGTGCCAGGCGTGTATGGCAGGAGGCGTCCACTGCAGGGAGCTGAACTCGGAGCAGGCAGGCAGCGAGAACGCCACTGCCACATAGGTGGCCAATCCCCAACCCACACCACACCCCAAACCCTCCAAAGGAACTGCCAGCCCCAGAGAGACCCTTCCTTCTCTGAGAAATCGAACCACCCCAAAGGGAAACCCCCAGAGACACTGACTTGGCAGAGCACCCCCCAGCCTCCCTTCTCTAAAGCCCGGCCAACAAATCCCGCCACTGAGCTTGGGGCTCCAGGGAGCTCTCTGTCCTACATTCCTCTGACTTTGACAACCAAGGCTCGTGAGAGGTATAGACCTCTACCTCAACGTGACAGACCAAGCTGCAAGAAAAAAAAGCAACTTGGAAGAAACAGAGACTATGCAGGGAGGAAAAAACCCACAAAGAACTACTGTTAACCCCAGGAGAAAAGAGAAGAGATCACACCCACAAAATAAAAATAGGATGCTATGCTAAAAAAAAAAAAAAAAAAAAGGAATCTTAGAAATTAAAAACATAATATAGTAGAGGGGCACCTGGGTGGGTCAGTCAGTTAAGTGTTGACTCTTGATTTTGGCTCAGGTCATGACCTCATGGTTCCTGGGATCGAGCCCTGTGTCAGGCTCTCTGCTGACAGCGTGGAGCCTGCTTGGGATGCTCTCTCTGCCCCTCCCCCATGGGCTCACACTCTCAAAAATAAACAAATATTTTTTAAAAACCCATGATAGCGGAAATAAAATAACTCAATAAAAGTTGTGGAGGATAAACTTGCAGAATTTCCCAGAAAGTAGAGCATAAAGAAAATGTTAAAGAAAATAAAATTACAAGACAATTAAAGACATGCAGCATCTTGAGTAACAGGTCACAGAGAAAGCAAAGAGAGAAGACAAAAATCATATACAAAATTAAAGACTATTTCCTAAGCTATGGACGTGGCTTCTAGACTGTAAAGATGTTATGGACGTGGCTTCTAGACTGAAAAGATGTATTGAGCGGCTAGTGCAAGAGATGTGAACAGACCCTTATTTAAGACATTACAAGACGATACTAAGGATAAAGATGACTCTACAAACTCCCAAAATGGAAAGAGAGGTCTTGCAGAAAGATCAAGAAACTGAATGGCCTCAGATACCTCTTCACAATCACTGGAAAAAAAAAGACAGAAATGTATTCAAAACAATGTAAGAAAATTACCTCCAATCTAGATTTGTAAAAAAATTACCTCCAATCTAGATTTGTAAGAAAATTACCTCCAATCTAGATTTCCATACCCAAATTACAAAATCATTCATGAGAATAGAAAAAAGGCATTTTTAGCCACACAGTCTGCAAACAAACCTAAGAAACACAGTGTACCTCTCAAGCAGCTTTTCTGAAATAAATGACTAGAGAATTGACTCCACCAAAATAAAAGAGAAAACCGAGAACAAAGCGTGGGAGACAGAGAACAGAAAAGCTGGCGTAAGACAGATGGAGGAGAGCCCTCGAGGGAGCAGTAAAAGGGACTCCAGGACGTCAGCGCTGCTGTGGACAGTCACACGTGTGCACCGGAGCAGTGGCATAAGAGACAGACATGCTGAAGGCTGGCACTGTCACAAGCCAAGCTGCCATCACCCACTGCTTTCACCCGAGGATAGGCGAACTAGCCCAGGTCCTGGGCTTATGTGGACCATGTACCGTAACAGCGTTCCCTCCCTCCCCCAGCCTGATGATCTGCGGGGGACACTGGTGGCCTGCCACTGTCCCCTGCAAACAGGAGAGCTCTGGCCCTGGTGGCTCTAGATCAACACACACATAGCAGCGCCTCCCTCTGACCGCGTGTCTGCTAGCCACCAGTCGCTGAGTCACTGCATCGCTATGCCCTCCAGGCGATCCCCCTCCTTCCCTCCCCCTGCCGTGCCCCTGGTTCTGAGAACTGTCTTGTGACTCTTCACTGGGAGACTTCACAGATGTGGGATACTGGCCTGTCCTTGCCTCCTCGGGTGTGGGCTTACTACTCAGTTCTTCACCACTAAAGAAGGTATTATTTGGAGCTTCACACTATGTGGTAAACTAGCAAATAAGCCAAGAATGATTACCATAAACTTGGGATAATGGGAATTCTGTGGTGAGAGGGAGCAAGATGCAGCTGAGGAAGCACGTGGAGCTGACTTCTAAGGTCCTAGCCACGTTTCCGATTCTTCACCTGGCTAATCAGTACACGGGTGCCCATTTTATTACTGTTTAAAATGCACCTGTTTAAAATACTCCTCTGCATGTATGATGGATTTCACTATAGAATATATATTTAACAATAAAGTATTCTGATTCCTTGAGACTCAAGAAGCCACTAGAAGCTTCTGTTTCTAGATCCTGCTTCTGCCAGCACTCACCAATTCTTGCAGGCCTTCCTCTTTTTTCCTTCTCCACATGCAGGAGCCCGCAGGGAAGCTGGATCTGGCTTCTTAAAATCTTCTGGATCCAGCAGCTCATCAGAGTCAATGAGATCCTGGAGAAGTGTTCGAAGAAGTTAGTGACACAGTCATGATCTCCGCTAACAGAAGGCTGAATAAAGGGACGCGGTGGTAGCGGGTTTATACCATCCACCTAAAGGTCTCCACTGCCCTGCTCTGGGCTGATCACATACTCCAGCTGGCCACTGCAGGGATAAACTATGTCCACAGAAGATGCATCAAGTTGTGAGGGGACCGGGAAGTAATTTAAAATGTGCAGAGAACGTGTGCGCATGTGTATATACAGGGAGAAGAAGAAGAACAAAAAGAGAAGCGTTGTATTTATTCAAATACATGAAGGGCTATCATGTGAAAAAGGGAATAAAATATTTTCTGCATAATTCCAGAGAAAAAAACAAACAATGACATGTGCATTTGCGCAATGCCGTGATAAATGCGTGGACAAGTCATCTGTGTGACGTGTAGACAAGTCATCTGTGAGCTCTAGGCAGGCACGAATCGCAGCCTGTCTCACTTTCGTTAGAACTTTAACAGCTGCAGGAATGAAGAACTTTATTACAGACACAGGACTGATCAAAGATGGAAAAGTATTGCTCTTAAGACAGTGAGCGTTCAGGGACTTGCCCAGACAAAGGAGCCAATAAAAGGTTTTAGCTGACAAACTCTATTCAGGTTCACACATGCCCACGAGAATCTTTCACATATCACATGAAGTGAGAACAAGAAAACCTGTGAGGAAAAGAGACACTGAAAAGGAAATGGAAAATGCCACTGAGGCGGAGTTTCTTTCTGATTCAAAAATGCCAGTGACGGGCACAGATGCTGGGCATCCTGGCTGCACGTCCAGAGAGGCCGCTCGGAACTGCGAGCTCTCACACCCGCAACGAGGCCTACGAGGAAGCAGCGCGGTGCCCGCCATGTCCACTCACCACACTCTCGTCCTCCATGTCGTTGGCTGAGAGGGTCCAGAGCTTGGCCGCTGCAGGGTCCACGGCAGGCTTCACTGAGTCCGAGCAACGAAGACAAAGAGCTCAATGAAAGCAGCCAGAGACAAGCCATGGGCACATGTGGGTGCTTCCTACTGAGACTCGGGGGGGGGGGAGGAGGGGAAAGGACCAGCGCCAGACCGGGAGCCAACAGGCCTGGGTCTGAGGCCCAGCTCTACCACTTGGAGGCGGCATGACCTGGGGCCAATCACTGTGTCGTGACAGAAGCCATCATTTGCTAAGCACTTGCTTCATATCAGGTACCGTGGGAAGCATTTTCTATGCGCTGCCCAATTAAACCCTGCTAAGAACCTTAGGAGGTAAGTATGTGGTGTCCTGATTTTACAGATGAGGACACCGGTTCCCACATTAGGCCACCTTCGGAGCCACGAACAGGAGTCTGTCCGATGCCTCTGACTCCATGTTGCTTTATCCTCGTCTTCGTTTCCATCCCTAGAACCTGGGGCTAATCATACTCCCTATACCTACTGCAGGGAGATCTGAGGAGCTGAGAGAAAGTTGCCCAAAACCATCGTAAGTAGCAAAGCTGCTGACCCACGTGAACCTGTCACGTACAAGAAAACGGGCACCAGAGCCGGTGGCGGTGGTATAACACGAACCAGCGGCAGACGCCTGCCTCACTCCTCCCGGCTCTATCCGGGTGTGTGTGTGGGGGGGGTGATGCAAGGAAGGCCCTGAAAGAGCCGAGCCCAGAGTCTGGCGGCAGGTCCTCAGATGGGCCTTGGGGGTAGGTGCCTCCCCAAAGATCACTGTTGCAGCTGGGTGCTCAGACCTCCCGCGGGGCGAACCGCTCAGCTAAGCCGTCCCTACCCATTCTGGAACCAGGACTCCAAAGGCTGGGATTCCAGAGGATTTCTTAAAGATTTTGGCTGGCCTGTCAAAGCAGAGCAGTGTGAATGTACCTGTGAATTTTCGTGTACTTCGCAGCTGGGACAATTTCTCTCAAATCAGGCCACATGAAATAGTGATCAGAAGGGTGAGGGGGTGGCAAAGGGCAGGTGCAACTTTCTGAGAAGAAATATTTTTACAAGTGGCTTAAGATCCTCAAAGGAAGAAGAGCTGATTTTGCCAGCATGGAAAAGACATGCCGGCAGAGGAGCAGGACACTTAGCGGCCATGACCACCAGCAGGAGACCTTCTGAGAATAAATGTGTAGTTCTGAGGCATGGAAAGACTGTTAGCTAAACCATGTGGCTCGGGCCTCTGGAATCTGGGGAGGCCTTAGTGTCTTCTGGGGCAGAAGGGGTTGAACTCGGTGATACCTGTGTGTCATTTCAGATTTGGATCTGACTTTCCCCAGGACGATGATACATTAAACACTCCTCCATTTGGAAATGACCGAAATCAAGGAAGGAGGAGTCAGCCCTCCAGAAACTGCACTGCCTCTGTTTCAATCTCTGGCCCGACATCTCACATGTCCTTCTAGGCCCAGCTGGACAGAACAGTGTCCTCAGGCCGTTCCTACCTGGAGGAGAAGACTTCTTGGCAACAGAAAGCTTCAGTTGACTAGAAGAGCCCACTTCAAAGTTGGGTTTTTTGCCTGTGATGCGCACAGACAGCAAGCTGTCACTTTGGTGACCCAGGTGTTCCTGGACAGACTGTACCTCTTCGGGGCTCAAGGACTCCCGCAACAGCTGGAATGCAAGACATCAAAAGGATTAGGTCACACTCTTCCCACAAAATAACGCTGTACTATATCTACCTATACAGGCGTCAAATACTCACTTATGTGTAGTAAGTATCTCATGGGGCCAGATGACAGATGTTCCCTCATGCCTCACATTCAGTTTCTCAGTGATCTGTATCCTGGAGTGTCATTTTGTCTATGTGCTTACTCTGAGCCAACCCTCTAGAAAGTTTTAAAGTATTTACCAGACACCTATCTATTAGGTACAAGGCACTATGCCTGTCATTCTGCAAGGTGGAATGATTAGGATTATGAAGATGAATCAGACATGTTGAAAAGGACCACAGCCTATGGCAGGAAGGCATGCCCACAATAAAGACAGTAGAAATGAACTAGAGAAAAAGAACCACAGGGGGAGGGAAACGTTTTCTGGGGAAGAAGTGGCAGACAATCGATAAAGGTAGAAAAAAATGTGGAAGTGTTACCTCTGTGCTCAACAACCACAGAATGGCTGAATAAATCTTAGCCCAACCAGAGCACTTAATGTTGTTAACATCATTAATAAGAATGAGGGGCAATGCATTGAAGGTGGTTAAATGTCAAAGATACCTAGGGGCACCTGTGTGGCTCCGTCAGTTAAGTGTCTAACTCTTGGTTTCGGCTCAGGTCATGTCTCACGGGTTTATGGGATCGAGCCCCACATGGGGCTCTGCGCTGACAGTGTGGAACCTGTTTGGGATTCTCTCCCTCCCTCTCGGTCTCTCCCCTGCTCATACTCTCTCTCTCAAAATAAACAAATAAACATAAAAAAAGATATTTAAAGGTGGGGAAAAAAGCTAGTGACTGAACGATGTATATATACAACCTTATTTGCCTTAAAAAATGTCTCTCTTACACACACACATGAATACATAGAAAGGTCTTAGTGGCTACACACAAAAATGTGTTGCTGGCTTCCTCTGGGAAGCGTGAGGAGGGCCTGCGATGTCACTTTATATTCTATATGCTCCAGTATTAATTGAATTTTTACGAGCATCTCTTATTTAGAATATAAAACAGAAAACCCTAAACTAAGAAAAAAATAAGAAAGAGTAGGCATAAAGAAACTGAGGTCTTAGGTCATGTTGCGAATAGGTGACTTACCAGCGATCACGATACAGCACTTATCTCTCACATAAGAAAACTTCAACATCAAAGAAGAATGTAGAAACATGAACACCTCCATTTAACCTAAATATTTCTACCGAATCGTCAGAAAGGCACTCCCTGCCCCTCCCCCCACAACCTGCCCCAGCCTCCCACCGAGTATCTGAGGACGGTCCCACTGCCTGTATCGCGCTTGGGGCTAAGATTTGTGTCCATTAAGGGACCTGTGTTGTGCTCTCCCTGCCACTGTGGCCACCACCCCACCCCAGTACTGAGGCGAGAACACACACCTCAACCCGTGTGGGTGCAAGATGTGTCTCTTCAAAGGACAGGCGTCCCAGAAAGTTCTGTCCTTTGAGGCATCACGTATCTTACATACAAAGCACTTCCCCCGCTTGCTTCCTAGTCTGCGCAACACCGTGCACCTCACCTCCAGGGCCGTTACTCCCCTGCAATTTTCTCTGTAATGACTCACAGAGATTGGGGGAGGGGGTCACCCAAGGCTTCAACTCCCAGCAAAGAAGACTGTGTACCAACATACCTCTCTCACTTCCACGAGACCAGAGAGAGTCAGCGCCGAGCACAGCTTAGAGGTCGTTCTCACTCTGCTATTGTTCACTGCCGAGAGGAAAACCCCAATTAGCAGCTTTAGGGGACAGAGCAGGGAAAATAATAAAGGCTCATCCGGGGTGGGTCGGCAGGCGATGGCGATACGACAGCAGCGGTGTTGGTATTCTGACAGATGCTTGTGGTTATTCCAAGTGCTCCTGCCTATGCTCTTAAGTGTCATATAATACTTCCATTGTTACGGTTTCTTCTCACTTGGCTTCCGGGAAATACCTTCCAGGGGTTGGTGGCTGAGTGAGAAAGAGGCTGAGGGACTGTAAGACACTCAGGTGTTCTCTCTGCACCCTTCTGACAGAGAGACACCGGGCAATACCGCCTGAGATCTACATTCCCAGCCGAGACCTCTGGCTATCTGCATCCACGCCACAGCTGTCCACATCCACATAGACACCTCTACACAGTTCAAAACACGTTCATTCTCTTACTCTGTTTATAAATTAAGGAATCACATATTGATGGGAAGTGTTAAAAATTCAGAATTGAATGGCTTTTTCAGTTCGCTACTGAGAAGGGAGGCTTTTATTTCCTGGATTCCAATATTAGTTTCACATGAGTCAATAAGACCACTCATCACTCCCAGACTTCTAGTCGTTATTTCCTAACGTTTTATTCTGAAATAACTGGAGGTGTACGGGAAGTTGTTGTTTCATTTTTTTTTTTAAGGACCCTTCACCTCATTTACCCCCATGGTAATACCTGATGAGATTGGGCGCGTTCAGGGTGGTATGGCCGTAGACCCCTATGGTAACATCTCACAACTATAGCACACCGGTAAAGACCAGGAAATTGTCACCAAGAGTTCACGGTGCTACCCAGATGTCACGAGTGTTATGTGTGCTTGTTGGCGTGTGCGAAGCTCTGCACACACAACCTTACAGGCTTGCGGCTTCCTGTGAGCACTACCACAGTCCAGGTACAGGATGTTCCGTCACAAGGAGCCCTCCGACGACCCCTTTACCTCCTCCCACTCCTGACCCGTGGCAGTCCACAATCCGCGACTCATCCAAGTTGTTGCACCTATGAGGGGCGGATGCCTTTTTGGCGCTCCAGAGTTTTCCATGGTGTGGATGTACCACAGTTTAACCACTCAACCTGCTGAAGGACCCAGCCATTGTCAGATGGGCAGTTTCCTTCTATTTTACTACCGAATGGGTCAGTCAAAGGTCACAATTCCCTCCGACGCACCGCTTCATGTTTCTACAACGCACTGCTTCATGTTTCTACAATCATTTGCCACCAAGGAGAAGGATCGCCAAACGACACCTCCTGCTCCGAGAGGTGCAGTACACATTCCTACAGGCTGAATGCTGTGAAATCCTAGTCTTTCAAATGAAGATCTCCTTACCTACAGCTGTCTCTACTGGCTCTTTCAGAAAGAGACATCCACCAGGCCGAAGGATCCGGGCCATCTCGGCCAAAATCTCAGCACTGTGCAGAGTGGCGCTACCAGGAATCACACCCGACAAAATAACATCAAAGCTGGATTCCTTGTGGGCAGCTGCAAAGAAGGAAGGCTCCAGTCAGCCACCAGCTGGGCCCCAGGGGCAATCGCCAGCCCCTCCGAAGACCCTCTCAAAGGCTGCAGGCCTGGCCCTGGAAGAATGAACCCCGACCCTCCAAACAAATGTTCTGATACCACCATCCCTAGCAAGAGGGGAGATGAGGCTGCTGCCCTCCCTCCGTCTCACTAATTTCGTGTCCTTTTATATGTTCAGGGAAAGGAGTGAAAAAGAAAGGTGGCTGAGGAGAAATCTTTTTAAAAAATGTGGAATATCTAATAAGAAACAACGGACTTCTACAAACCATCAACTACACTCTTACGTCCGCTGTATCTCAACTGAAAACCAGCAGGTGACCACCTACTACTACTGTGTGCTGCCCGAAACAGCTCAGAGATCAAGGCACCACATCAACACAGCATCCTCCCGAACCCCGTGGCCCCGTAACGATGTGTGTGGGCACTCACACTGCAACAGCTGGCTCACGTTCTCCACACATACTCGGCCTTCGTCACCAGTTAACGTCCGAAGCTGATCCACCAGATCTTTCAGAGCCTCCGCCAGGGATGACTTATCCCAGATCACTGCCACACACTGGCCAGCCGAGACCCCATAATCTGCCATTCCTGCGGTTGCTGATGGACCTAAAGACTTTGGGACAAAGGAGTCAAGACTGAGTAGAAACAAAAGCATGATTTAATCCACGAAGAACCATCAAATGTGATTAGAGTCTCAACCTAATTCGGACCTCTCGCCAGGGAATGAACCACATTGGAACATGTAGATGCTAGAGACTGAACAAATGAACCCATTATCTCAAGGGTCCCTAACCCCAACATTCCCAAACAAGGCAGGTTGCTTCCCTGCTGTGAGTCCTGACTTTGCTGTCAAGTAAGGAAGCTGAAGGCAGAAAGATGATTTCTGTTTTGATTTGAGACAACTTGGCTTGAGCAGAATATAAAACACACAGGACCTTAATTAGGCAAAACTATGACTCAGTAAAGAAGGCAAATAAATGGGCAGATATAACCGACCCACAAGCCTAATGTTTTTTTTAGAAAAGAAACAACATATTTAAATTTAGCAAATTGAATGATATTTTCCCTTTCATCAAAATATGAAAGTTCAATTCCATTAAATCTGCAATGATCAATAGTGCCTCTTATGTCTTCAACATTTAATGTTAGTTCAAAACACTTAAAATACATTATCTCAACTGAATCTCAGCACAACCTTAAACTAGACATTCTTCCCATTTTACAGCTATGAAATGGAAGCCATGGACTTTGCCATGTCACACAACTAATAAATGTTGTGGGATAAAGGAAGACCTAGAATTTGAATCCAAATCCCTATGGTTGTAAAGCCCATGTTTTTAACCTATGGAAATCCCTTCCCCCCACCACCTTGAGTCAACCTTCTCTTCCATTGGATACTGAGATGAGTCTAGAATGTGCTCACAATGAAATCAGGTCAGGCGATAGCATTCTACTTGGCTTCTCCTTTCTTTCTTAAACATTAATGCCACCAAGGTTCCAACTTAAAATAGCTTTAATAAATGGCATAAAGGCAGAAGCCGTGGTAGACAGGTCAAACATGGATTGGCATCATGCTGAACACTTCCATCTTCTGCAGAAATGGCTAACTCAGTCACAGTCATGCCACCACAGACACTCGGACTGAATTTAAGGCATGTCCACCACCTTCTTCCTTCTTCAAAAATATTCACTTCAAATGGCGCTCCTCCCCCTACAAATCATGGCCAAATCTGCCAGTCATCCTTTTTTTTTTTTTAAATATTTTTTTTATTTATTTCTAGGAGAGAGAACGTGAGCAGGGGAGGGTCAGAGAGAGAGGGAGTCACAGACTCTGAAATAGGCTCCAGGCTCTGAGCTGGCAGTCAGCACAGAGCCCGAAGCGGGGCTCGAACCCACGAACCGTGAGATCATGACCTAAGTGAAAGTCGGACGCTTAACCGACTAAGCCACCCAGGCGCCCCCAAACCTGCCAGTCATCCTTAAATATGATACTGCTTTCGTTTTGTCACTCATTTCCTAAAGAAGTGTATTTTCTAGGTGGAAACAAAACATTCTTCTGGAATCAGCTCCTCCATAATCTGGCTCCACCTGGGTCTCCCACTTCTCTGAAGTGAATCCCTCCTTATTCTATGAAAAACCTCTATCTTTTTGTTTTAATCATACCTTTTATCCAACTGCTTCCATGTGGAATGCCTACTTTTTATGATCCTGCCCTGACTGCAAGCCCCAGTAAAAAGGATGCTAAGTGTTATCAGACAAGCAGGATTCCTTGGTCACTGAATTGTTTTTAAGTCCTTAAAAAGTACATAACAAAGAAGTGGAACTTTTGGGGCTCCTGGGTGGCTCAGTCAGTTAAGTGTCTGACATCAGCTCAGGTCATAATCTCACAGTTCGAGGTTTTGAGCCCTGCATCAGGTTTTGGGCTGACAGCTCAGAGCGTGGGGCCTATTTTGGATTCTATGTCTCTCTCTCTCTCCACCCCTCCCCCGCTCATGCTCTATCTCTCTCAGTCTCAAAAATAAACTAACTAAAAAAAAAAGAACTGAAACTTTTAAGATTTTAACAGCCACATGTTGAGGAAGAACTCCCGCAAATATATCTTTTTAAGTTTATTTACTTATTTTGAGAGAGAGTGCGTGCATGCAAGTGGGGGAGGGGCAGAGAGAGAGAGAGAGAGAGAGGATCCAAGATCAGTCTCCCTTTCAAGAACTAGCCAGGGAAAACAGGAATACAGATTGCTGGGTGTTAGATTATAAGAAATAAAGGACTTGTTTCTAGAATGATATTGGCACCGGTTCTCTGCTGGGACAATAGAAAGCGACAAGCTCCCCGCCCACCAGCAACAGCTACAAACCTTGCACTGTACTCAGGGAAAGACCATCAAGAAAGAAAGAAGGTGTTGGGGCGCCTGGGTGGCTTAGTCGGTTAAGCGTCCGACTTTCACTTAGGTCATGATCTCGTGGTTCGTGGGTTTGAGCCCCGCGTCGGGCTCTGTGCTGACTGCCAGCTCAGAGCCTGGAGCCTGTTTCGGTCTGTGACTCCTTCTCTCTCTGACTCTCCCCTGCTCATGCTGTCTCTCTGTCTCTCTCTCCTAGAAATAAATAAAAATATTTAAAAAAAAAAAAAAAAAAGAAAGAAAGAAGGTGCAAAAGTCTGTTAGAGCAAAACAAAAAGCCTGGTGTCCAGACCTTTTCAGCAACCTTAAACGGAGGCGGTGTTCACGGAGCACAGGATTTGAATACAGTTGAACTCGGGTTCCATCTACCGCGGGATGGTCTGCTTATCACCTACATGACCGTCGGTGAGTTATTAGCCTCTCTCTTTTCCCATCAATAAAGAATAATAATCTCCTAGTTTGCAAGGCTGCTGTATGAAGTAAATGAGAAGACAAAAATATGCAAAGCACTTGGCAGTGCCTGGCACACAGAGCTCAACAAAATAATCTAAGAGAACTCTTAATTTTTGGTGGCCAGTTTATTTGCCTTTACTTCAAAGAGTCCCTATAAAGCCTCTTCTTTCTCCTCAGCCGTGCCCGCTGAGGAGCCCCCAGGGAGAGATGAGAAGCTTCTTTCTCACTGTTAGAATTACACAGGAGAAGAGCTGCTCTTTATGACATTTTAGACACTCCGCCAGTGGACTGTGTCAGCACATTAGAAGAAGGCAAATCGCTTTGCGTTCCATATCCCCCCCAAACTAATCTTCTCCAGCAAGAGGGAGCTCATAAAATACATTTACTAAACATTAACCCTCAAAACGCAGATATAGCCACCACTCTCGGTCAGCATTTTCCAAATAAAATGGGACATGACGTTCTTTTAAGTATCTCAAGGCCGAAGAGTGATACCTTTCATCATCGGAGTTCTGTGTTGCCGTCAACCTGCCTTTTTAAACCAACTATAAGGAAAAAATGTCTGGCACCTAAGTCAACATACTTAGAAGTGTGACTCAATGTCGTATCTAAAAGGAGGTGGAGTTGAAGAAGCCAAGGTCATGTACGTGGCCTTGCTTGTTAAGCACTGCTCCAGCACTTCCTGCTGCACGTAAGTGCCCGGGGCTCTTCTAAAATGCTGCCAGGCGGGGAAAGCATATGTCTGAAAATAACTTCTGGGGATGCACTTGTTTATTTCTAAGGTACCCAACAAACATCAAATCATGAGGCATTTGGCTCCTCTGGAGGATGAAGGGAGCCGAAAGAAAAAAAAAAAAAAGATTGGGGCACCTGGTGGTTCAGTCAGTTGAGCGTCTGGCTTCAGGACAGGTCATGATCTCACGGTTCATGAGTTCAAGCCCCTCATTGGGCTCACTGCTGTCGGCACAGAGCCTGCTTCAGATCCTCTGTGCCTCCCTGCCCCTCCCCCCACTCTCTCCCTCTCCCTTTCTCTCTCTCAAAAACAAAAACATTTTTTAAAAAGAGAAAGAAAATAAGAGAGAAATTTGGATACCAGTTCTTACCAAGGATCAAATCCTTTTAAGTCAGGTGCATAAAAAATTCTGAGAATACCGAAAGTCCTCAGAAAGGAAACACGTAAGTATAATGAGTGTATGTGTGTGTGTGTGTGTGTGTGTGCGCACACACAGAAAAAGAGATGATAATCGGCAAGAAAACAAGAAACTCAAAGGAAAAGAAATGCAAGACTGTCCCCAGGCAATTAGGTGTGTGTCAAGAATTAAGAATTTCAGGAAGGATACCCCAGAGCTAGAATTTCCACAGCACAGGCTCATTTGAAGATGGGTGGACAGAACTCAGAAAACAAAATCTCATGGACAGATCAGTAGTGTTTTAATGAAATCCAGTGCTGTGGATCCTTAATTTTAACAGCAGGGGAGTCATTCTTTCTGGCTTAGACACCTAGGCAGAGAGGGCAAGATGTTTTGAAAAAACTAGTTGATAAACGTCATGCAAAACAGATACAAAGACCAGGGTCAAACTGCAACACAAAATTTACAGAATGACATGCTTTGCTCCTGTCATCAGTTATCCCGAAACCATGTACTTTTCCCCTGTTAATATGAAGCCTTCCCTGATGACAGATACCACAGCGAGGCACTCTACGTATACACTTCAGTTTAGTGTCTGGTCCATAACCTCCCTGAGTCATTCAGAGATCGGCACTTAATGTCGGAAAGGACATCACCAGCGGTTCCTTAACTTGCAAATTCTACAAGTCACCTGGGGGCTTTGTTAAAATAGGATTCGGGGGGGGGGGGGCGCCTGGGGTGGCTCAGTTGGTTAAGTGCCAACTTCAGCTCAGGTCATGATCTCACCGTTCATGAGTTTGAGCTCTGCATGGGGCTAGCTCAGAGCCTGGGGCCTGCTTTGGATTCTGTGTCTCCTTTTCTCTCTGACCCTCCCCCACTCACACTCTGTCTCAAAAATAAACATTAAAAAAAATTTTTTTTTAAAGATTCCTGGCCTGCACCCGGATGTACTGAACAGGGTGAATCGACGCACCAGGAGAAAGACCTGGGCCTCCGATTTATTAATAAGCATCCTGGATAGTTCTTTGGATCTGGCAAGTTTGCGAAATATTCAATTATACTGTTAAAAAGAAGACAACAGGCCCCAAATGGAGTCTGCTGTGCAAAGCACACATCGTCACCTAACCGAAACTTAAGGGCTGTTTCAACGTTCTCCAGGAATGTAATCTTAAGGGGTCAGTCTGGAATTTTCCAGTCTGCATCAGTAATCTGCCTAACAGACCCCTTCTGTCCCCTTGCCTGAAATAATCCTCACCCCGCCCCCATTATAACTTCCCTGTCTCACCCCCTCTCTGACTTTAAAACACCTTTCCTTTACTTGGGATGGGATGCTGCCCAATTCATGAACTGTATAAAAAAGATTAGATCTTTAAAAGTTACTCGGTTACATTTTTGTTTATTTAACACCAACTTTGGAGGTTCTGGTAAGTCATCTGGCTCAAAATTACAATCTAGGAGTTAGACACACCCCCTCCCCCCCAAAGACGGAGGCCTCAAGCGCCCCCAGTGTTTGAGACGAGGGCCAAGGTCACAACGGCGGGCTATTTAACAGAAGCGGGTCTCAGACCCAGGTCTCCGGGACGCAGGCTCAAGGCTCCTCCTCCTCACCGCGCTGACCCCGGAGCCTCAGATCCGGGCCGGCAGCGCAAGACACAAGGCAGCCCAGGAAGGTCAACCAGCGCCATGACCCCGAGACAGGCAGGGGCGGCCTGCCCCCACCCCCCACCCCACGGGCTCCCTCGGGCAAAAGCCTGCCGTGCTCCCCAGGGAGGGGATCATGGTTCCGTGTCCACCGAGGGACGGCGCTGGGAATAGGAAACAAGAGGCCCCAGGGGCGAGGGTGGGCCGGGAGGGGACGGCTGGGGAGATCGGGTCCGGGGCCCGCACTCGGGGCGCTCACCTGCCTCTCGGGGCTCGCTCCCGGCTTCTCGGCGCCAGCCGGCTTCGCACCTCGCGCCTCTCGCGATAAGAGGAGTCTGCGGGAGGGCGGGCAGGTCGGAAGAGGCCGCGGCGGGCTCCCGGGGCTGTCCGCCGCGTCACTCTCGGAGGCGTGCCCGCTTCCAAGATGGCGGCGGCGGCGGCGGCGGCAGCGGTGTCAGGCGCGCTCGGCCGGGCGGGCTGGAGGCTCCTGCAGCTACGGTGCCTGCCCGGTGAGGGGGCGGCCGAGCCGGGGAGCGGGGAGAAGCAGGGAGGGGGCACGTAGCCAATCTGGGCTGGGTGCGGGGCGGAAGAGGCCGTCGTGGCGGCCCACGAGCAAGGTGAGGTGAAGGGCATCGGCTCGGAGCCGCCGGCGTCCGTGGCTCGAAAGGGTCGCCTGGCTGGTCTCTGCCCTCATTCTTGAGCCGTGAAGGGCAGGAGTGGCGGGGCAGGGCCTGTCACTCCCGTTTAACGAAATTCACAGAGCCCCGGAGAGGGCTGTGGGTGCCCAGGGTCTGACAGCCAGGCAGTTGCAGCCTGGCAGACCCAGACCCAGTCTCTTAGCAAGTTCACCGCCAAGTCCCTGGGAAGGGCCACTTCAGGGTCGGAGTCAGAAACAGCCGCAGGGAGCTCCTAGTCCGTTGTTTCCGAAGTGAGTCATTTCGTCACTTCATTAAGTCTGTGGTATTATATTTCCCACAATATAGTATTTTTGTTTATACATCTGCTTTCTTAAAACGAGACGTTTACTGAAGAGGTAACTCTATAGTGCTACTGCGAAAGGAAAACCAGCGTCACCTTCCATAAATAGAACATACATTGATGTGTTAACATATACATATAACTAAAAAAAAATAATATTCTCCTGTATTTCATCAAATCTTGTGCATCGCGGTGGTTTCCATAGCGCACCTGGGAAAACTCCCATACTTTTCAAAGGTTTAGGAGCGTTCCATTTTTTTTTTGTACAAATACTAAAAAAACCTGATATTTTTACACCTGTTCTGTGTTGTGTTTTGGTTTTGTCTTTTTTTTTTTTTTTTTAGGAAGAGAGGGCGATGGTGAGCTGGGGAGGGGGCAGAGGGAGAGAATCTTAAGCAGGTTCCAAGCTTACTGTGGACAGAGCCCAATATTAGGGCTCTGTCTCATGACTCTGGGATCATGACTTGGAGCCTCAACCGACTGAGCCACCCAGGCGCCCCCATAGATTTCTTTTTAAAACACAAGTGTCCTTTTGTTGTTTGGGGTTTTTTTAAATTTTTTTGATGTTTTATTTCTAGGAGAGAGAGAGAGAGAGACAGCGTGAGCAGGGGAAGGTCAGAGAGAGAGGGAGTCACAGACTGAAACAGGCTCCAGGCTCTGAGCTGGCAGTTAGCACAGAGCCTGACGCGGGGCTCAAACCCACGAACCGTGAGATCATGACCTAAGCGAAAGTCGGACGCTTAACCAACTAAGCCACCCAGGCGCCCCTGTTGTTTTTATATAAAACTCCGATCCAAATATGTTTAGTTGAAGGAATGCCTGTGACCCAGTAAATCCACTCCTAGGTGGAGAAATGAAAGCAGATGTCCACCACAAGGTTTGTACAAGTATATATATAGCAACTCTATTCATGATAGACAAGGCTGAAACAACCCAGGTGTTCATCAACAGAATGGTGTTTCTTAATGGAATACTACACAGCAATAAAAAGTAGCAATTGATTTCCACAAAAATACTAATCAGTTTAAAATATATATTATGCAAAAGAAGTTTTGCACAAAAACGATGTACTGTATGATTCTATATAGATGACATTCTAGGACAGGTTAAACTAGGGAGGAAATTTCAGAACAGTGTAGGTGGGAAATGACCGGGAGGGAACATAAGGGAATTTTCTGGGGTGATGAAGATACTCTTCAGGTAGGGGTTCAGGTTGTACTAATGTACACTTTTGTCAGAACTCAGAACTGGCACATTTAATATTTGTGTATTTCATCGTATATAGCAATGACCTCAATAAAAGACCAGTGAATAAATATTGAACTCTGGGGAATGATATGCACACCAGAATGTGTGGAGCTGAAGAATACTGAGGTCTACAGCAAACGCTTCGAACATAAGGTGGATTGATGACTGAAGAGTGTAATACATAGGTAGAACCTAGGTGGGTGGGTACACAGGTGTTCATAACATGGTTCTGTATGTTATTTCGTACAAAAAATGTGTATGAAATTTTTTGTAATAAAACGTTTGGAAAGAAAAAAATACTATGAACCTGGACTTTCCAAAGCCCTTCCTTATAGTAATTGAGGTGTTGCAGGTATTGCCGATAAGAAAACATTGGCATGAGAAAACCCCACACCTGTGGGGCACCTGTGTGGCTCAGTCGGTTGACCATTGACCATCCCATCTGACTCTTGGCTTCTGCTCAGGTCATGATCTCACGATCGTGGTATTGAGCCGCATGTTGGGCTCTGCACTGAGCATGGAGCCTGCTTGAGATTCTGTCTCCTTCTGCCGTGCTCCCCCACTTACTGTCTCTAAATAAATAAATAAAAGATTAGTGACCTGTGTGAAGATACCATATAGATACTATAGGAATCAGGGGCACCTGGGTGGCTCAGTCAGTTAAGCGTCCGACTTCCGTTCAGGTCATGATCTCACGGTTGGTGGGTGTGAGCCCCACATCGGGCTCTGTGTTGATGGCTCAGAGCTTGGAGCCCATTTCGGATTCAGTGTCTTCCTCTTTCTCTCTCTGCCCCTCCCCGTTCGCACTCTGTATCTCTCTCTCTCTCAAAAATAAATAAACATAAAAAAATTTTTTATAAATAAGTAAATACTATAGGAATCAGTATTCAGACCTCATTTCTAGTCCAGTGCTCTTGCTATAATATAAATATATAGCAATTTCAGGTCATTTTTATTTTTTGATTGGGTTTCACAACACTCCCATCGAGCAAACAGATTATTACTCTTAATTTGCATGTTTTAAAATCATGCCCATTGGGGTGAAGCCCATTACCACACAGGTAACAAATGAGAGCAAAAGGCCACAAGCCGGGTCTTCGGTCACCTGGCTCGTGCTTCTGCCACCACGTCATGTCTCCAGGTTGCCAATTTACCCAAGACCTTTGGGACTCCATACTTAGATAAGTGGTTCTGGAGTAGACGCAGCCCTCCTTTTTCTCTCCCCCCATCGCTCACGCCATTCTGGGTATCAAAGAGTCTTCTCTGGTGAGCGAGCGTTCCTGCCTGACCAGCCCAGTTCTCCTTTCAGCGTCCCGTTGCCAATCAGCCGTGGTGTCCCGCGCCTTCCGTGCTTCGGCTGTGCAGCTCAAGTCTTCAGAGGAGCCGAAGCACCCACCTCCCCCGCCTTTTTCTCAGCAGCATCCTGACACACACGGGGCAGAAGAGCCCAGTTCAGAATCTTCTCGCTCACCTCCCAGGTATGTATCAGGACCCCAGTCCATCGTTTCTGGCCATTTTGAATGCTTGTCCTGCCTCTCCTTCCTCTCTCCTCTTTATCCTCCTCCTCACCTTCCATCATTTTCTAGGATATCTTTGAAAGGAACCTATTGCTTTTTTTTTTTTTTTCAATAGTGCCTGTACACTCTAAACTATCTAATCAATATAAAGTAGTTCATAAAAGTAAAGCAAATTTACCAGAAATCACATACCCTGAAATAACTCTTTTAAGGTTTTTGTGAATGTCCTTTTAGATGTTTTTTAAGTATATTCCATATATAAATCTATATACATTAAGCAGTGAATTACACTGTACAGTATACGCCATTCCAGAACCTGTTTTTTCACTCAACAATACATTTTTAATGTTTTCTCAGTCTGTATGATTTTCATGGTTGCATAATATTCCAGCAAATGGCGGTATTAAAATTTATTTAACCTATCTTGGGGCGTCTGGATGGCTCAGTTGGTTAAGCATCCGACTTAAGCTCAGGTCATGATCTCACCATTCGTGGATTTGAGCCCCATATCAGGCTGTGTGCTGACAGCTCAGAGCCTGGAGCCTGCTTCAGATTCTATGTCTCCCTCTCTCTCTCTGCCTATCCCCGATTCGTGCTCTCGCTCTCTTAAATAAACATTAAAAATTTTTTTTTAATTTATTTACTTATCTTTTATTGATGAATATTTAGATTTCCTTCACTGGTATAAAAAACTAATGTGATCAAGTGTGTGATTCTCTCAGCAGGGGGAACACTGAACCAAAGCATGTGCACATCTAAAATTTTGTTACATATGTGGGACCAAATTGGCCTCTAGAAAGGTGATAATAGTTTACATTTCCATTAGATATTTTTTCTTCTTAATTCTGCCACTGAGAAGTGTGGCTAGCTCTGAAATTAGGGTGTTCCCATCATTTTTCTGGTCTCCTGATTAAAGTCCTTCTCACTTCAATTCAGCAAATATGTTTTGAGGATCTCATTTGTGTCAGGCCCTGTGAATACTCCCAACCATTGTCCCTGGCCTCATAGAGGTATCATTTGGCACAAATACAGCTGTAAACAGAGGAATCCAGGGTGCTATGGGAGCATTTGCCTTCCTATGACATGACCTCCTCTCTCACTGGATTCCTTTTCTCAGTGACTGTGTGAGAGGAGAATGGTGACAGAATTTTTGTTCTGTTGGCATTGAATCATCAGTACCGGTGCAAAAGTAAGTGTCTTCCCAGTGTGTGCTTGGAGGAGGCCCAGAGCTTCCGGTTTCCGGTCAGGTCTGTTTTGCGTGTTAGGCAGCAGGCCGTGAGATGAGGTGTGTTGGGCTCCATGCCCACGTCTCTGTTGGGTTTGGGTCTCAGGTACACAGATCAGGGCGGTGAGGAGGAGGAGGACCATGAGAGTGAGGAGCAGCTCCAGCACCGCATCCTGACGGCGGCCCTGAAGTTCGTGCCTGCCCACGGGTGGACGGCAGAGGCCATTGCAGAAGGAGCCCAGGTGTGTATAGGAGAGGGTGGGGCGGCCGGGCCGGGATTGCCCGGGAGGGAGTCACCCCAGCCAGAGCAGAGGGCCTCGTGCTTTCTTCTGGCCCAGCTTAGAGCCCCTCACTGCTACAGGATTGAGGGAGGGT